ATAATCTAATATGTAATGTATATATATGCGCGCGCGCGCGCGTGTGTGTGTGTGTGTAGTAGAATATGCAATGTTATCGCAAAATCTAATAAAATTATATACATGTTACTAGATATCGTAGACAATTAGTCAATAGCAATAATACAAAGAGTTCCATGTCTTTCTATAGTAAAGAGTCGCTTCACTATATGTGCAATATATACATGTTCTCTTTGAGAAAAATACAGTGTAGTGTCCTTCGTATCCTAGCTTATAAAGATATTGGACATAGCGAACGTCGTGAAGAATGACTACTGCATTGACAATACATATATACAATATACATGTGTTTTCATTTATTTAGTAAAATGATAATGATAAAATGATAAAAATTAATATGAGTAAACGGAATTAGTCGTGTCGATAATATAGACTTTTTAAATTGTCAATCGTTACCGACATTTTTTTAATTCCCTTTAGATGGCATTAACGGACGGCCGTCGGAGTTCGTTCTTCGTTTTAGGATCCCCTTAAGTGTCGGTCCACAATAGGTCATTTAAGCTTTAAGAAGTAAGAAATTGATTACAATCGAATAAATGAAAAGAATAATCAACTATGATTGGTTAATTTCTTACGAGTTAAAGATTAAACACTTATTGTGGACGACACTAAGGGAATCCTAAAGTCTATTCTGTTTTATTGGCCAAACTGATTAATTTTCTGGCACGTTAATTTCCTAATTACATTTGCAGATTTAAAAATCCTTTTCCACAATTAAAGTATCTATATAACGTATATACGTATCTATATAAGTCATACCGACTTTATACCGAAAACGAAAAAATTTAAGAAATTTCGATCTTTTTTACCGACTCTTAGTCCAATATGGATATTGGTCGAGAGTTGTTAACATGTGCAAATATTTGCTTCATATAGAAATTTGGCAGCCTTTTGTACAAAATGAGACCGGTAGAAAGTGCGAATTACATGCAGAAACAATGTAGAGTTTTTACAATTAGGCTTGAAAACGTGATATAAAAGATAGCGTGCTGAAAATTTGTTCATATGTATATCATGTGTGTACAGAAATGATGATGAGTGTACGTATGTACACATAATGTATCTATGTATGTGTAGATGTGCATATGTGTGAACATCGGAGTTTACTCATCAGTTTAGCATCAGTTTAGCATTATTCTTCTATAAATCGATTATGATTGGCCAATTTCTTAAATCTTACGTTTTAAAATTTCATTGTAGACACCGCTTTACTTCTTACAAAGATCAAACTCACTGCAGTTTTCATTATTTTCGACAGTTACAATTACCTGGGGATCAAGCATGTAACTTTACGTGAAATTTTTCACTTTTTACTTTTCATCTTTCACACCTTGACATTTCACGTGAAACTTTTCACATACAGCGATTATATATGTAGCTTGGATGCGTGGAAAATAAAATCATGAAACATAGTTTCATAGGTTTTATAGCTAATGAAAATTATTTTATTGATACAGTATTATATACATCTTTTAATAACCAATTGTATATGTACTACGTACACTTAATCCTAACGCAACCCTAATCTTCTCTAATTCCGAAGCATATTTATTAATTCCCTAGATTTCCGCCTTTTCATCACTAAGGTACATGGCAAAAAAGTTCACGTGAAAAATTTCATATTTTCACGTTTGAGAGAATTACATAATCCTGCAAAATTGTGATCGTAAGTTCACGTGAAACTTTTTACTTTTCACGTTTCCGCCTTAGGGAAAAAGTTATGATCGACTTGGATCGATATTATTAAAATGAAAGTCAGCAAACGAAGCAAACGCGCCATATAACTAAAGCCAACGACACACAATGCTTTTTTTCTTGCTGGTTGCTAGCTGGATTCGCGTGCTTGTGCATTCTTATCTTCGATTGGTATATTTTTTTAGATCCAAAAGAATATACCAATCAGAGACAAGAGCTCAACGAGCACGTAATCCAGCTAGCAAATCAGCAGGAAAAAAAGCATCGTGTGCCGCTAGCTTAAGTGTCGGTCCACAATAGGTGATTTAAGCTTTAAGAAGTAAGAAATTGGCCAATTATAATCGAATATGAAAAGAATACTCGACTATGATTAGTCAATTTCTTACGGCTTAAAGATTAAATACTTATTGTGGACCGACACTAATATATCAAAAAGATACGATAAAACGTCGGGGTGGTCATTTCGCAAATATGAATTCAACAGACCGCGTCGTGATCTGTAGTTACAATCACATGTCTGTTACAGCTTTGTAACACATACTTTCCATTTTCCAGGTACACACTGGTACACACTGGTACATACTGATTTTATAAAATATGCGACTATTGTAAAGCTAACCTCTTTCAAACGATGAATTGAATTTTATGGAATCGAGCCAGCGACCGTGGATTTGCTAATTGTATGCTATATAATTATCGTTTTATGCTCAGACTATTACATAACTGTCGCTTTACGTGGTACTGTTATTTCAAGCCACTCGAACTCGTGATTCACCTCGCGTATGCCCTGTATTTTGCATATTCTATGTATATGGCATTCAGTCTCGTACACACATCTTGCTCCATATATTTTTCAGCGAATCGTATAACAAGCGATTATGGTTGATCAAAGAATTATAGCAATCTGTTTCCTCGTGTGTTTTGCAATAGTATTTAATTTCTCCCTTCATCGCATCGAGGAAGGTCATGTAGGAGTCTATTTTCGAGTAAGTTGTTTTAAACAACAAATCTTTTTCCCATTTTCTCTAGTAATTTTATCGCTTTCAATAACTATATAAATACTTGTCAGGGTGGCGCATTATTGCCCCAGGTGAGCAACCCAGGATTTCATATGATGATACCATTCCTGACCACTTATCGTTCAGTTCAAGTAACTTTGCAAACAGACGAAGTAAAGAATGTGCCATGTGGAACCAGTGGTGGTGTGATCATCTACTTTGATCGTATAGAAGTTGTCAATATATTAGATGCAAACAGTGGTAAGTTATGATTGTAGACTAGTTCTTTATGTTGATATACTTTATATATATATATTTTAATATATATTAATATGTGTGTCCTCTCACAGTCTACAATATGGTGAAAAACTTCACAGCAGATTACGATCGCACCTTAATTTTTAACAAAGTGCATCATGAGTTAAATCAATTTTGTTCTGTACATACACTACATGAGGTATATATCGATTTGTTTGATCAAATTGATGAGAATCTCAAGACTGCGCTACAAAGGGACTTAAATGAACTAGCTCCTGGTCTTAACATACAAGCTGTAAGAGTAACAAAACCAAAAATTCCTGAAACAATCAGAAAGAATTATGAATTAATGTAAGTGATTGCTATGTTAATTAATTTTCTTTAGAGCTTAATTTTGTATATATTTTTATAATTTTATGTTTCTATGATTTATGTGGTATGTACTTATTTTGTTTCTATGATTTATATGGTATATACTTATTTTTATTCAATGTATCAAATTATACAGGGAAGCAGAAAAAACAAAACTGTTAATATCCACGCAACATCAGAAAGTAGTGGAAAAAGACGCTGAAACTGATCGCAAAAAAGCAATTATTGAAGCTGAAAAGGAAGCGCAAGTTGCAAAGATTCAATATAATCAAAAGATTATGGAGAAAGAATCCCTGCAACAAATGGCAGCGATAGAAGATGAGATGCATTTAGCGAGACAAAAGAGTCGGTCAGATGCCGAATTTTATCAGATGAAAATGCAAGCTGAAGCAAACAAATTACTCTTATCCAAGGAATTCTTAGAGCTCAAAAGATACGAGGCATTGGCACACAACAACAAAATATATTATGGGCAAGACATTCCAAGAATGTTTGCATTTGGAAGTTGCTCGAATAATGCCGATCTCAAATCTAGTAATAACATTGAACAAAAGAAGTTATGAGCGATAGATAACATTAGAATTCATATCTCATTTTTATGATTATTACACAAAATGAAACGTGAGAAAACTTATCTCTTCAGATGAATACTTTTATGATAGATGAAAAATTGAATTGTACAACTTGTATTCGTGAGCGGGCACATTTTTTCTATATAAAATATTATGTACACGATTTTAGAATTCTAAAACATTTATTCTCGTCTCGTAAATTAAATTATATAGGATTAAAATTTGTATAAATGTGTTTATTTTAAATTCATTCAGATGAGAGGATTATAAATATGTATAAATGCACTGCCTTTTTTTATTATGCAATAGAAACAATGATTTCTTTTCACAATACAAGACAATGCAGCATTATGTGGCGATTATATCAATTCTTAATATAAATTACATATGCATAAAAAATAACTAAGAATTTGAATTGAAATAAAATTCAGTTCAATTATACTTACATCTAATAATTGTTTTAATCTCGGCTCTTCTTTTTCTAAAAAAAAATTTATTTTATGTAAAAATATTATATTTATATTTTTTGTTTGTATGATTATGATTTTTTTCAAAACATTTGACATTTTGCGATGACTTGTATTTATATTAAATTATATAATCTATTTTTCTGCTTACAATTTTACTCTCCTTTGATTTCTTCTACATAAAAATACAAAAAATATATAATTAACAAAATTTATTCATTTATTTTCAATTATTACATTATTATGGAATAAAGAAAATATATTAAAAAATTCAAAAGTCCACACAATTTTTCTATTTATTTCATACATAATTCTGACATTGCTTCTTTGCAAAGAAAATTAAATCTTTTTTTTCACATTTACACAAGTTCAAAGAAATAATAGGAATAGGATGTTATTTAACTTTTTTACGATTTTCTCTCGCTTTGTGAAGATAAACTTTGGACTCTTTTGATGGTAAGGATTTAACATCGCTTATATTTTGATTTAGCGTTCGTAATTCTTCCAATCCTCTTTTAGCTAATTTTCCTTCTGGAGTGGTCGCCGGTTCCAAAAGAAGCATAGTCAAAGCTTTCTTTAGAAGATCCCTTGCTCCTTCTAATTGGCGAGCCAATTGCGCTGAAGAGATCTCACACGTGGAATAAGACTGATTTGCCAATATTATTAGAGGCAGATGCATCTCGTACAACATTATACCTAAAATCGATATTTATAATATTGAAAAAAAATCAATATAATATTGACACTTTTCATAATCAATATACCTTTGTCATGTGTTATAAAACATAAATAGTATTAAAAAGTTGTCATTACTTTTCTCAGATATTTACGTTCTCAGTAATTTACGTTTAAATATTTAACTATAGTGCAGTGTGTAATTAAAATTAAATATCTAATAATATATAGTGAATTTCTACCTTTTAAATGTGATATGCCTGGCTCTGTTATATCTAAAACATTATAGATTTCCGTACATGTATCTAACATCTTTTGTATAATCTCTTTCTGAGGATTGAGAGATGTTATTTCTTTTCTGCAAACCGTCAACAATTTCTGCTTTAAAGATAACATTAGGAAATGATTGGTATGCAGCGAGCGAGATAATCTCCTGAGCAAACTGTCTATCTTCTGAAAAATATTAGATTATTGTGTATCAATGAACAAAATCGTAAAATACCAAATATTTTTAATGTATATATAAATTTTTAATGTATATATAATCGCGAACCTCTATGTCATCATCACCGCATTCGTCGATGAGTGTTCTGCATATATTCAATGTAGCTCTGATAAGACGGCCGCTGTAGGTCCTCTTGCACATCTGACATTGCCATCGATTCTTTCGTTCATAGGGATCGATGATGGAAGTATCTTGCATACCTACGAATCCTTTTTTGCAATGCGGACATAGTACGCTGCTTAAATGCGACTGCAATTCGTACGGATCTTTACATAGAGAACATTCGCATTCGAAATATTTTCCCTCTCGAAGATGCTCTCTTCTGTCAGCTGTACCCTAATAATTAAATGCTCCTGTTAATTTTTATATAAAATAAGAAAATATTTTTTAAAGTTTCAATCAACACATCGTTGTCGGTAAAATGATATAGTTTCTTTTAAATTTAATAAATAAATATTTTTAAGGCTCGGTTGTCTCTCTGCAGCCATATTAAATTATGGCGTCAGAGGCGAGAAATGACATGTAAAAAGTTTCTTGCATTCTATAGCTTTATCTTGTACTTTTCCCTTAAAAATATGATATTTTCGTATTCTTAAAACTTGTATATATGTCGGTTGCAAATATGTCAACTTTCGTGTTATATTTCTTAAAATTTTTGTTAAAATTAACTGACCAGCAACGATGAGGTGTAATTAAAGAGGACAGGATCGTCTTGTTTAATCGCTATGCTTGCATAAATGGTCAATTGAAAATTGTCGTCCACAGTGAGGTGGGTGTTGCCCCTGCAGTCGTGAGTCATTAGAGTCGCCTCGTTGTATAAACCTCGTAGAAGAAGACTACCATCAAGAACGCCAGGCGAACGCAATTCAAAAGCATTTACATCCAAAATGCCGCACAATTTCTGCATTAATTCCACGCTCGCCGGTTCGATTTCGGCGGGCATGCGGAGTTTCTGGAGCACCTATATTACATAGGATAAAAGGTAGAGTTTATGAGTTAGGCATAAATTTTAGGCTTCATTTATTATAAATTATATTTTTTCATAAAAAAATGGTAAATGTCACAAAATTTTTCAATATTTATTTTAATTTTAACAATTATCAATAGTTTCTTATTTATTAAAAACATGTTCTACATTTTATTAATGCCATTATGCGTGATATTGTTAATTAAGATTAAATATAACAATGCGTATCAATTTATTAGCTATAACATGCTATAACAATCCGAGCAAAATTATATTTTAAAAAAAGTAAAAAGATGACGCCAAGTTCACGTGCCTCTAATTATTTTATATACGTTAATTATTTTTTATTTTATTTATATATAAATATCTCCATATTTATAAATAAACCGATCATTACTTTTACAAAAGGTATTAAAAATTGATGTCCAAACTTGTAATCCCATAAAATAGAAAAAAAGAATTTTAAAAAAAGAAATAATTCTATTATAGAAAACTAATGTTAACTTATGGTTGTCATAAAATATAATTATTATACTTGGATTTATATATAATATAAAAATTTTGAAATAGTGTGAAATAATACTAAAATTAAATTATACCAAAAGATTTGATATAAAAAACTAGGACGAGCTTGTAATTGTCGGAAAAAAATTACTAATATAATCATCATACTTGTATCTATCAGATTAAAAACCTATTAGCGCCAGTTTGTAATTAGCAATAAAATTTAATATAATTAACGATCCTTATGATTATACATAATATAATATGATTATACATAATATGATTATACATAATATGAAACATTTAACTATCAAAAACTTAATTTCAAAAATAGTTCCAGTTAGTTACAATAGTTTTTGTATGCATATAATTTTAATGACATTAAAATAATAATTAAATTGAATAAAATTTCTGATATATTTTTTTAAATATTTTTTAAATATTTTTTACAATTAATTATACTTATTAAATATTTTAGTTTAACAGTTTTCTAGACAAAAATATAAATTTTTATCCTTATAGTGATTCAAAATTGAAACTTTTACTATACCTGTCGTGCACATACAGAATAATGAGACAATTATAAAACATCTTTTGTAAGCTTTTGAATAAATGAAGTTCTCAATTATTAAATATCTTAAGAATATTTATGTATTGTATTTTGCTATTTTCTTTTATAGTAGATTAAATTTTTCTTTAATTAAATTCTGTATAGTAGATTAAATTACATATATAGCGTAATAATCTCAGATTTACGCAAAACTCACATTTACAACATTGACTTGTCTATTCCTCCAAACGGGAGTGCCAAGCCTTTTATCCAAATGAGCTTCCATACGATCTATTTTCTTCCATATAAGTGGATTCCTATGTTTTACTAGCCACAGTCGTAAGACCAACAAAATTTCCGCTGCATCAATTTCACTTCCCGCCAATAGATCTCGATTATCTCTAAATATTTGACATTCGTCATTCGTATGATGATTCATTCGTATCTTCAAAAATAGGAAGAAGAAAATTAGAAGTACTTTCAAAATTGTTATAGCATTATATAATGCAGATTCTCAAATTTCATTATTATTTTGCCATTCTTCTTGAACGAGCAAAATTTTGTCGCTACTGATCGCATATACATATTTCACGAATGTTTTCACTCACGGGAGTTTAAATTTTATTCAGAAGAGCATATGAAAACGATTTCTTTCTTTCATATAATATAACTCAAACAGAACAAAAAATATGTTAATTATATTCTTTCTCAGGCTAGAGAATTCTCTTTGAAAATCGTCAATGTAATGTATTCCGACTTGTTACCTCACATGTTATGCCGCACAATGGTGCAAAGTTACATCTGGAACAAGCATATTGTTTTCCTTCGACAATTTTCGGTAATGAACGCATGCAGGCAAAGCAAAAGCAATCCTTCTTGTACACCATTGGACCGACTGCGATTGGTTCTTCTCGAATTATTACTTCTCCGGGCGCTATATTTTTAGCTGCTACAAGATATCTTGTAAACAAAAGACACAACTTGCAAATTGATTGTGCAAAAGTACGCTCAAATACATAGCGCAAACATATTTATTTTGTTTAAACGTCAAATTTATTTTAAGGATTAAATTAATTAAATTAATTAAGGATATAATTAATTAAATTAATTAATTAATTATATTTGTAACAAATTAAAATGATCATTTTTAATTCATCTTAATTATTTATTTCATTAATAATTAAATATTTAATTAAAATTTTAATGAGTTATCTCACTGCATCCATCGAGAGAATAGGAAAGAATAGGATCATCTCTCTGGAGTATCGGTCGTGGAGATTCGAGATATATATGTATATATATATATATATATATATATATATATATATATAGTGTATGTATATATGTGTGTACATCATTGAATTGTGACGTGTTATTCTAAACACGTTATTTGCGATAAATATCACACGCCTCTATAGTCAAAACGATAAGATGCCTGCCCGGTAAGCAGGAGAGCCAGGTTCGGTTACTGGCTGAGGTGATATTTTTCACAAAATAATTTCGAATTTTTACGACTGGTTCGTGGTCGGGCCCTGTGGCACGCGCCCTCCCTTCTTATCCTCTTTTTATAAAACTAAGATCATCAAGTATAATTATAAAGATAATAAATTGGAAATTCACTTTAATTAATTGTCAATTCACTTTGTATTCATGTAGAGTGCGTGCAAATAACGAAAATGTCAAATAAACATATTTTGTCACAATTTGGTTATATAGTAATGCAGTTGCTATGTAAATTATGCAAAAATGTATGTATTAAATTGTAGCTGCGATTATACCTTCCAAGTTTTTTCGAGTATGCCACTTTATATTTGGTGATGGACATCATAATATCTCCGGATTTCTTCCTTTGAGTTAGCGACTGATCCACAACTAACATCGACAAACAGGCATCAGTAATATGAACCGTCTTCCACCGGCACTCACACGATGAGTTGTATTATTAGATACGCATGGCATCGCCCGCAATCTGTAATGTTAGTATAGAACGTCACGCGCTGGCATTTACAACATAATGATGCAAGTTTCTTTATATTTATTCAATTATTCTAAATTAATCATTTTATTGAGTATATTATATATATTTACGTACAAGAGGAGGGAGGGGGAGGAAGGAAGAGAGAATATAAAAAAATTGTTTGTAATACACATATATTTATCATAAAAATAACAAATATTATTACATCATTGTATAAGTTCTTTTCATAATTTTCATATTTCTTACCGAAATATTTTTTACTCCAAATGAAAATATTTTAATCAATATATTTATTATAAATGTACTAATATTTTAAAGGAATTAAGATATCTCTGTGTATTTGAGATATTTAGAATATTCTCACACACACACACACACACACACACACACCGCGCGCGCGCGCGCGCACATAGATATATCCTGTTTTCTATATTTTATCTTTTATATTTTATGTATTTTAAAATATATAAAAATATTTTTACGTAATTATATTATTACCGTAAGTTCTTGCCAATTAGATACAAACATTTTTCATACAATTTCCTTTTTAGTTTCATAAAATACTCATATACTTTAATTAATAATTGCAAAATGTCAGATAGAATTAACACCTGTTGAGAAATGTCGAAAAATATGGTGTTTATTACTATAATAAGTTTATAAATAACGAGATCTTACAACATATAACATTATACTTATAAATCATTTATAGATTGTTCCAGTTGGACTATAGATTCTTTTGCGATGAGTCCTATTTGTCCCTCGGCTGTATCTGATGATTCTAAGCTTAATATCGTAGCAGCTTCTTTTAGGATATTCGCAGCTTCTATCATTTTGGACTTCAATCTGGCCTCGTCAATGACACCGGCATTCCATTGGCCTTTTGCCAAAAATAGTAATGGTGCGTGTAATTCGTATAATGTCATACCTGGAAAAAAGGCAAGGCAATAAAATTATTCATATGTTTTTCTTCCAATTTAGAAAACATATTTAAAAAGCATCTTGTACCTCTTATGCGACTATATCCAGGTTCCACAATGTCCAATATTTGAAGCAATAAACGACACATGTCGACTTTATGCTCCAATACGACATCTGGCAAATCGTCTAATAAATATTCATCGATCCGGCCATACATTTGAGTTAATGAATGTCTAAAAAAACGTTATATCCCGTAATTTAGAAATTTAGATTTACAGTTGATTGCAAACTTCAAAAATAGTTGAATTAAATTCGACAAAAAGATAAAAATCGACTTTATTGAGTTTAATTAATTTAACATCTATTATTTAGTATCAAGCAAATTATTACCTTAACATTGAAAGAAAGGCATGATGGGGATGTAAAACTGATCTGTATTTTTTGATGACGGCTTCTCTTGCATAAATTGCATCAGCTCCGTCAGCACCACTAATAGCTTCAGCGGCGTCTACTTCTGCTTGAATAACTCGAAAAACTTTCCGTACTGCTTGACCATTGGTAGAAAAATCACAGTGCGTACATCTCCAAATACTTTCTGAATCTGAAAGATTCAGAAAGCATTTGTTAATCATATAATCGCTATTTTGATTATTAATAAGCTATCGTTTACATTAGCGTCTAGATATATTGAAATACACTGAAATTGATATAATTTCAATTCCTGACGGGAAAAAACTTTGTCATTTCATTCATTTTCGTAGATAAATGTAACAATCATTGCCGCACGATTGCATTGAATTTACAACTGAACTCAATAAAGCTATAAATACCGGTTTTAATTCTTAATTTTTACTTAATTAACATGATGCAAAATTAAAAAAGATACAAGGAAAAAATATAAATAGACTTCTATCATAATACCTAAAGAATCCAAAGGCAAGACAATTCCGTTGTCACATTTGTTGCATTTGAGCGAGGACATGTGAGTGCCCAATTCGGTAGGATCCGAACACCGCGGACACGCACATGCAAAATGCTTGCCCTCAAGTAGATGTTCTCTCCGTAACATTGTCGGAAGTAACGAGTGCGTGTAACTCGCGTAAAGTTCACCGCCCGCAGGAATTTTAAGCGTGGTACGCAACCGTATTCTATAGATACAAGAAACTGTGTATACAATTGTTATTCGCACTTAATGTAGAAGCGGAGGAAGGGGAGCATATTTTTATCAGTATAATAATGCGTGAGACTTCCGGAGATCATGCGCGATGTGTGAACTAATTGAGGAAGAATTAGTTGTATACAATTGTGCACGAGTGTATAGCAAGTAAGGTATGTAAAACAGGATTGTTGCTGTTTAAAATACTTATTTTAAGCCCATTTTTATCAATGGAGATTAACTTTAATCTCAGTTTAACTTACTCTTTATCTTTTTTATTTTTAAGAATTAGAAAAAAATTAAGACTAAATTAAACATCGAGGTTAAAGTAAATCTACATTGGTGAAAAATGAATATTAGTCTTTTCACTGACTAGATAGTATGATGTATTGCTATTACAAAGTGTTTGCATTTTGTTGTGTTTATACAATATATGTAGAATAGAACAATTATTAATTGATGTACCTGTAATCAATTGGCGATATGCTATGAGACGTATTTGAAACGCACGAGTGGTTCATCAAAGCTACCGTTGGATAAAGACCACGTGCGCTGAACCCTTTTGCTGTCCGGACTTCGAATGTATTAATCTCCAAGATCCCGCATGCTGTTTGTATGTACTCTTCCGAGAATCTGCGTTCGAAGTATTCATATCAAAGAACGTAATTCCATGCCAAAGGATTGAGTGTATTCAGCGGAAGCGATTAATGGTTATTGATTTTTATTATTAGATCTTTAAATTTAATTCAATTACGTTGACAAATTACCGTTATACAATCGTTATATTTTATCGTTAGTATACCTGTCGAGTTTGAGTCGTTTTCTCAGATAATCCACAATATTGACGTGATCTGATTTCCATTGCGTTTTCTGACACCTTATTTCATTATGAGCCTCCATGTCTTTCACTTCCTTGTTCCACCTTTCAACATTTTTCTCCGATTCTAACAATAATCGCAATGGTGTTATGCATTCTAATTGTGAAACGCCGTTTTCGTAGTTTCCATCCAGCACAGAGTTTACGTTAAACTTTTCGTTCACCTGTGCAAACACCTATCGAAACAGATAGATCTTTAAATATGCAAGATGCAATTATAATAAATAAAATAAAATAAAAAACATTTGCAATGAAGGAAAATCTATCGTTATCGTTATCGTTATTGAATGCTCGAGCTAATCATTACAATATTAAAAGTTTTCGCAATATTATCTTCTTGCTTGAACATCTTAAACTAATTATTTTGATATTCTATATGGTCTATTCGCAGAATTTAGAAAACTGCTTAAAAAGATGTTTGATTCAAAACGCATACTCACCTGACACTCATAATCTTTATGTTGTGGAGCATTCTCACAGTCTTTGCCACAGACAAGCCATCCACATCTAGAGCAAAGTGGTTTGTCATCTGACCCAGGAGGCCAAGGTGTATAACAGGAGAGACATAAGGGATAAGTGCATGCTTTTGGCCCGACAATAAAAGGCATTTCTGTGACAATCTCTTCACCAGCTTGTAGTTCTCTACTCGCGATCATGTACCTGGGAGCACCAAATACAATTCTTCTAAATAAACATCCAATTAGAAAACGTGTGATTACAGTAATTATATTTCAACCCGAAGGCAATTTCTTTTCCAAGTCAGAACACATTAATTTCTTCCTAAAATCATTCGTCAATCATCTTTCATTCTATATTTTTATAAGTAAATATTTTATATCACATTTGGGTGATTTATTAATTTTAGTATATGTCACAATATTAATTCATTAATTCATTTGATTATTTCGATAACTCGGCGAATGTTTAATTTACTCAGACTTGATGCAATTTTTCATTAAGAGAAATTTCCCATCTTTCTGTTTAAAATGATGTATGAACTTCCATCCAAGGCTATATTTCATTTCAAGTTGGAAATAATTTGTCAGTTTCGCTTTTTCCTTCTTCTCACCTGCCAACTTGATCATTCTGCAAAATCTCATATGCCTGTGAAGCAAATGCATTGTTTTCCTGAAATATTCAAAGAGTGTAATGAAATGAAAGATCACTGAAACGTCACAAATATCTATACTTTTCACCAAGTTGTTCGCAAATAAATAAAAATGGATTCATTAGGGAGATGATCTCGGCTGCACTCTAATTAATTTAATCGGCAGAGTTACTTATGATAAAAATTTCCAACTATATAAAAATGAAAAAAATAATTCTAAAGCATATAAAAATTTGGCCAGCTATAGAGATCTGAAAATAATTTTGTTGAATCATCAAAATAATTAGGTATAACAAACTTGTAAAATATCAATATTTCAATATTATACCTATGATCAATATATCAAATTTTTTCAGTATTATCACCATGCTTAGATATCCTATCTATTATAAATTGGCCTAACAAAATTATTTTCCATTCTATCTTGTCAAATTTTTAAATGCTTCAGCAAAACCATTCTCTTTAAGTATAATTTTTCATTCTTAAACTTTATTTTTCACTATAAACATAAAATAAAAATAATATGTTATTCACATGTTGATATAGGTTATTTGTTAATAAATTTATCAGAATTTATCCATGTTTCTATAGAAACATACCGATTTTTGCGACATATTTGACCAAGAATCAGACTAGCAAGAATATATTCTTCGTTAACGAGACGCTGATGCTACGTCGATCAAACGGTCCGTATTTGAACTGAAGCAAAGACCGTGCTTACCACACGTTTTATATTCTCAGCTTATTAAAAATATCGCGTGCAAGCGCTCTGCCAATAGTGCAATCTAGATCTAGATTGGATTGGGCAGATAGAGATTGTATGGATTGCGACGTGTTACGATCAGAAATGTTGTCGCGACTACGTGGCTAGTATGTATTTTTGGGATTGAACGTACAGAAAGATTCAAAAGCTACTGTTTTCCCATATTCACCGCAACTGTGCTTCACACCAGTCCAATAAACCATTCCAATACGTGAACTAACAGTAACATTACAGCTGTTATTAAAATTTTCTACTCAATAATATAATTATTACACAATATATTTTGAAAAAATCAATATTCTAGGTCATAATATCGCGAAAATATCAAGATGACAACTCCTTAAATTAAAGATAAAGATGTTAAGTGGATAGAACAAGTTATTCTAATATCATCTAATCTTCAATTCGCAATCTTCAAGTTCCAATTTGAATGTTTGTACTATTTAAAAATTATCTCGATCGAATGAAGTTTCAGTATTTCATCGTACGTGTGTACGTACATATATCGTATGAATCCAAACTCCGCGGGACGGTCGCGCTTCACTCGCGCAGAAATAGGTCCGGCACTCGTTTATCGTTTTCCTCGCACAACGTCGACACGCATGCGCGTCCATTGTCCGTGAATCGTGGACTCTTTCTCTGCTTGTCCTCTCTCTCTCTCCCTCTCGTTTATCGCGACGTACTTGCAAAAGGATCGTGCAATCGTGTTTCTCTCGTGTCTATCCATAAGACTGTAAGTATATCATCGTCATGGAATTTAATTCCTAATGGTGATGGAAAATCCATCGTGCCGCGAGTCTTAAGATTACAGGCTGATCCGAATGCCAGATGCGAGATGGAAGTGGGTTAGAACAAATTCTCGTCTCGTTTTGAGAAACCGGCATGGAATCGCGATTGTAATGTCTGCCGTGGTACACAGGATGGATTTTTTAATCAAATCGAATGGGATTGGTTTTTTTGACGGAATTCGCGTTATCGTGTAAGAGAAGATCGTTTCTCTCATGCGCAGTGACGTGTAAAGCACTGCTAAGTTAGAATCTTGAACGATCAGCGGTGTCGGCTGATCGCGGGCTTATGTAATATACCCGGGCCAAGTCGATACTATTCTACGTACGCGCGTTGCGATATATATCTTGCGGTATATATTGTGAATTCGTTTGTATTAGGATCTTTATAACAATGACTTGTCATTTTTTACGTCCGTAGGTCCGTAGGGAATTTCCGTTTTCTTCAGATTTTTAGATGCCAGTCGTACGTGTTTTGGATAATCAAGGAAATTTGTTAAATGTGTAGATATATCGCTTTGTTTTGTTTCTTTAATCTTCAATCAATTAATGTATACAATTATTATATAGAACAGAGTACATTGTTGGCATATGTATCTCAGATTAAATTTAGATCTATTGTTTTATTATGATTGTCTATATTGAGCTTTCCATCTTCTTTCGATCTTTGTTGAGCTAGATTTCTTAGGTGAAGGAACGATAAGTCACTGAACAGATATTTTTAAGACATTGCAGATCATGGCTCCTCCAACTTACAACGACCTAGGAAAAAGTGCTCGAAATGTCTTTAGTCAAGGTTATCACTTTGGCCTGTTTAAATTAGATGTAAAGACTAAGACTCATTCCGATGTAGAATTCTGTTGCGGTGGTGTATCCAATCAGGATACAGGAAAAGTATTTGGTAGCTTAGAAACCAAATATAAGTTCAAGGAATATGGATTAACATTTAGTGAGAAGTGGAATACCGACAATACCCTTGGCACTGAAGTCAGCATCGCCGACAAGTTACTTAATGGTCTTACTCTTGGTTACAGCTGTACCTTCTCACCACAAACTGGGTGAGATATCTTGCTAGTATTAGTAATTAGTATTAGTAGTGTTGAAAATTCAAATCCTCTGCAAGCAATATGTTAATTTTATATTTTCTTTTTTTTGATGTTGTTAGTTCTAAGACTGGAAAATTAAAGACAACTTATAAACATGAAAATGTGTCTGCAACTGCTGATTTCGATCTTAGTCTGTCCGCCGGACCTCTTATTTATGCCTCCGCTGTGGTAGGTTACCAAGGTAAATTTAAATGTCAATTATCATGTTACAAAAATAATTATTTATAAACATTAATCACAAACTTATTAAAAAATTTGATGTAAATCTCGAATCTTTTTGATATAAAATTGTTGAAAAAACTTTTAATATATTTAGATCTCTTATTCTTCTATCCCTTTGTTTTATAAATTCCTTGTTTTGAACACATGAAATGTTTTATGAATAAAAGAGTAAATCTATAATTCAAATATTATAATTAATAATTTCAAATATTATACGTTAATTTCAAATATTATACGTTACATGAACGTTTGAATCGATATATTGCTTCATTTGCAGGATGGTTAGGTGGCTACCAAGCATCCTTTGACTCGCAAAGGAATAAACTTACGAGAAATAATTTTGCTCTTGGATTTACCGCTTCTGATTTTACTCTTCACAGCGCTGTGTAAATATAATTTACAATTACAAAATGTTTTCAATTTTAACATTTAAATATATTTAATAATTTTTTTTAGGGATAATGGTCGCGAATTTACTAGCTCAATTTATCACAAAATTAAACCAGATTTGGAGGGAGCGATCAATTTGGTGTATAACTCTAGCAATAACGTAACACAATTTGCTATTGGCACAAAGTATAATCTAGACGATGAGGCTAGTATTAGAGCCAAAGTGAATTCTAATCTTCAAATAGGTTTGGGATATCAACAAAAACTGCGAGATGGTAAAGTTTAAAAATCATTGTCTTTCAAATCTGCGGAGTTTTTTT